TCAAACATGTAGCCATATAATTTTGGGCCATTCTGGCTCTCTCTAGAGGCCCTTTGGGCTGCGGTCCTGACTCAGCTGTCATTTCCTTTTCATGGTCACACAACAGCAGAGTGGCCTGAGAGGAGCTCTTTGTCCCTGGCATGGTGGACACTGTAATGCTTCAGCAATCAGCTAAGCTTTTAAAGTGACTATTACGTATGCTACTAGTTAGAACTTTCTTGGGTCACTGTCATTGTTAGAAGTCAAACAGCAGGACAAAAATAAAAATACATAAAAACCAAGGAAATGGAGATAAAAGGTCTCTAAGATTTAGAGAAATCACCTGTTTCTTCATGGATGAGCCTGAAGAATCAGGCTTTGCATGGTCTTACTTGTTAGGTGTAAATAATTGATTATGCATTTACTACAGAAAAATGGTAATTTTTACTTTTCTATATATATAGTACATGGTTTTATTCTTATTTTTATTTATTGCATTTTATTAAAAAAACAATTGCGTGGTTTGAAAGCTAGCCAACATTTATGCAAGTTTTGCTCTCTCTCTCTCTCTCTCTCTCTCTCTCTCTCTCTCTCTCTTCCTCTCTCTCTCTCTGTTACAATCAAATCTAAGGCCTCGTGCATGCTAGTCAAGCACTTTCTCACTGGACTACAGATCTGGCACCATACTAATTTTCTAATCTTGCCATAGTTTACCAATGGCCAGATCTACTTAGCATTGGCAAAAGGAAATGAAAACATCAAGCCCTTTATTCTTGGGATAACTTCAAAACTTAATTCTGATCAGATCCAACAGATGGCAGTGATGTTATAAATTGATAGCTTAAAATATTCTCATTATAGGCAGGATCAGAAAGATGTCATCCACGAATAATTCTCTCAGTACTTGGATACATAATAAAATTTTGACATGATTAATTGGATAAAAGAGCACAGGGTAAATACAATATGAAATTCAGCTGAAAAAATTTCCTATGTGGAGAATGAATAGCCTCTCATTTCCAAAAAGTACTACAAATAATCCTGAAATAGATTAGAAATGTACCAAGAAAGGATCTGTCCAAATTAGCTAAATGGATCACACAGTATATAAAACTCACCATTGCATCTTGATTTTCATTTTTAAACATTCCTTTGGGTGGGGAAGGGTTAGTTTCATTTTTTATTGACTCATGTTCTCCTTTCTTATACTTCTATTAAGTGACTCTAGCTGTTTTTTGCCCTCTTTTATTGTGCCTTCAAACAGCCATTTTTCTTCTTATTTATGCCCTTTTTCATATTTTTTCTATTAACCTTCATTCTGCAGGTAATAAAAAATGAAAAGTATGAAAGGAGGTTTATTTCACTATGGCTTTTGTGATCCCAAATCTAGAGTGTGTGATGCCGGGATTAAGGGCGTGTGATTACTAAACCACTCTGTGTGTGCGATTGGTTTGGCATCTCCCTAACCCGGGGAGTTTGAATAAGATAAAAGGAGCCGGAAGACACTGTAAAGGTCCCTTGTTCCTTTTGCTACTTTGTGTGTGCCATGTTGTGTCACCTCTGTGATGTGTCACCCTGCCTTGGAGCCAGTTGGTTACAGACTGAAACCTCTACGAATTGTGAGCTAAATAAACCTTTCCCCCTTTAACTTTGGGTGTCGGGTATTTTATCTCAGCAACGAGGGAAAAGTAAGTAACACACCAGGGAAATGCACGTATCCGGAATATGCATGAGAATTTACAGGGGTCGAGGGGAGAAATGGCCTCTAAGAACCAACATATGAAGAAGAGGCCTCGAGCCCGGCTCTGGGGCTTTTATATAAAATGTGATAAAGCTGGTTACCTGGTGTCCACTTTGCATTTGCAGGAAGGAGGCCCTGAAGGGCACTTCCGGCAGACGCTCTGCCAACTGGATCGTGCACTGCAGGAAAGGAGCAGTGGTGAAAGCCCCCAGGGACCCCGTGGGAGCCTGTGCCCAGTGAGTGGGTCAGGGGCCCCATTTCCCGAGGGGCCTGGCCGTGTGAGCCAGGAGCCCATCCAAGCTTACAGCGATGTCTACAGCCTCTTCCCCCACACTGACAGCAGGAGGGTCCAGCAGAAGAGTTGGGAGGAAGGATTTCAGAAGATTTTAATGCAAATTCATTGCAAAAATTTTAAAATGCTGTAAATTGAAGAAGTAACTTTGCAAACATCCTGAAAATGTTTCTAGGAAGCTTCATTCACAGCAAATACTAAATAGGGGAGATTTCTGGGCATCAATTAAGGTGACATTTACATGACTTCCAAGTTGAAAAACTTCCACTATATATATGTATGGTCTGGTTATTAACATTGCTACTAAAACTTCTCATCATTGCACTATTTTATTACATGTGAGTGTGTTTTCATATCATAAGAAACAAGATGGAGAAAAAATCTGAAGTCAGATATGATAGTAAATTAATTTACAGACAGATAATAGAAAAAAATTTTTTTTGTAGTACTGAGGATTGGACCCAGGGCCTTCACACTGAGCCCTTTTTAAACTTTTTATTTTGAGAAAGGGCCTCACTTTAGCTGCCCAGGCTAGGCTCCAATTTGTGATCTTCCTGTCTCAGCCTCCCAGAGAGCACAGTTTTAGATTACAACAAATATTTTAATAAAAAAATCATTTGCCAGATTTTTTGTTTGTTAGGCAAATACTCCTGAGGCCTACCGTTTGTCAGCTTTATAAAATGCCACCATAAATTATGTTTCTTTCTCCCACAGTTGACTTTTTTTCCCTTTAGTTGAGAAAATGTTGTTGTTCTTACACCTTTCTAGGCCAAAGCCCATTACATACAGGAAATTACACAGGTTCTATATTTTACCATAACACAGCAGTGATTACTCAGTTCATGGAGTAAGTCTCAACTCCAGAAGTTGCTCCAAGTTGAAGAATTGGACATTAATTCCAGGCATGCGGAGATATGCGGACAGGAGATGTGTTACACTGCAACACAACCAAAATTAGCCTCCCCAGTGTGTAAATGCATTTTTTATTAGGCCAGCCATGATCAGCTATGCAAGCAGCTACCGAGTGCATGGAGAAGTGTTTCATGTTTTGCCTCCTCTCTTTGCTATGCGTGACAGAAAAGCAGTCTGAAAAAACTGCTCTCAGCCACCCCAGCAGCAAGCCACATTTGGTGTCAGGAGACAGCTCCACAGGATCCTGCAAACACTCAGGGCTGAGTTTATGTGACGTTTTTTAGAGACGATCTGAGTGGAAAACAGTTCCTATGAAAAACAGCCAATCATCTTTGCTGTCCCTTCTGTGGTGACTGGCTGGTTTGCAGGGCCCAGGGCTTATCTGTGCTCCTTCCTGATGACCAACTGGACAAACCCCTTCAACTCCCGCCGCCAGCATTGGCACAAATATGTCAAATCTGACTCCTCAAAAACATTCTCAGTATTTTTTTTTTTAGCTCCAAAATTCCAAAACAAAAACTTATACAGACTTGGAAGAACACCTCGAGAAACCTTACCAAATACAAATCAAGGGGGGAAAAATCTCCACATGAACAACATATCATCGGTTTTTAAACCACTGCAATTAGAATTTAATGAGAATAAAATTACAAAGTAAAAGTGCTTGTAGTAGAGAAGACCGGCATCAACCTTTTGTTGACCAAAGAGAACTACAATCAAATGACAAAAGTCTGAAATAACGACACTAGAAGAGAAGATCTGAAGGTAGATGCTTCTAGAACTATGTACTTACCACCCTGTCTATGATTTTACACAAAACTGAAATAGCAGAAGCCAGATGAACTTATAAAACAGTTTGTATGCTTTGGAGGCCTATTAAAATATTTTAGATAACATGTGAGACTAAATGGACTAGAGACAGAAGTGTTTTCATACTGTTGCTAAGATTTTTTTGCAGGGCCATGACTATCCTGGGAAAAGCACTGAATACGTTATTTTCAAATTGCTACTTCCTGTAACTCAATATTCTCTGCTTTCACAGAGATAATGATGGCCCTTAATTTAGGAAATTATTATGCTAAAGACCATAGCTGATAAAAGAGCACAGCTTTGTTTAGATGCTCTGTGTGGTTCTGCTGAGTTTTAATCAGACATTGTTAGATAGTTAGCCACTCCAATTGAGATCTTATGAAATATTTGTGTGGGAGTAGAGAAAGGAAACGAAAGATTAAGGAGCAAATTAAGTGCTTGACAGCGGAAGTGAAGGTTTCCTCTCAAGTTCAAAAACAAGTAATTTTAGCCTCAGTGTCACAAAGCAATAACAAAAGAAAGTTAACTCACATTTAATTATTTCATGGATGAAAGTTGCCTTTGAGAAATCCTTCCTATTTTATAAGCCAATCTTTTATAGAAATAAAAACAGAGACTTCGAGATCCAACAGTCCTGGGTTAAATTTCTCACTCAGTTATTTAATAAATGTGTGCAGCCAGAAAACTTAGATAAGCTTGCAAAATCAGTTTCCTCATTTGTTTATGGATTAAGAATTATTTTTTGAAATGTATATAAATCACACACTGCACTTGTGGAATACGGAACTTTTTGAAATTTCTGTGGACTTCTGAACTTTCTTCATGGTACCGTATTTGCCCTTAATATGTTGCTTTTCACTGACTTTTTAAAATGTTTCTTCTGTATCTCTCTAATGTCTATATCCTTTCAAATGGACCTTTTAAATTCTTTCTAGATTTATCAGCTGTTTTTACAAAGTGGTCTGTAATATTTGGAGCATTATGCAGTTTCACTTGTTCTAGAAGCTTCTGCAAGTATTAGCCAGTTGCCCAAATCAAATGGCCTGCCCACGTCCCCGACAGACTAAGGAAGGGGAGATTATGCAATCTTTGGAAAACAGGCCAATGCAATACCTCTATTTTCATGAAGTGTCCTGAAGAATAACCCAAGATAGACTATCTGAAAAAAAATATGCAACTAGCTTAAAAGCCAAACTCCTACAATTAGGACCTCCTAGACCGGTGGCATACTCCACACCTTCAGGGCGGTGCCGGGCTTGAACTCACTTTGCATTAGCAGGATTGCTGGTGGTCAAATTGGCCAGGGCCAGGGCGGCGGCTTCTCGGACCTCTTCACTGTCACTTTTGAGCAAGTGCACTAACTGCGGAATCCCTGCAGGGAAGAAATGGAAGGACGTGACTCCCCGGAACCTGTGCACGCTGGAACAGGGTCACCGGAAAGGCCTGCGAGTGCTTCTGGATTACTCACCCTGAGTGCTGAAAAACTCTTTGCTGCCCGTGTTCTCGCACATGGCCGAAATAGCTTGGGAAGCAGCGACTTTAGTTCCGTCACTCTCAGAACCCAAAAGGGTGACAAGGCACTTTTCAACCTCTTGTTCGTGGAAAAGCTTTCTACTTTCAGCTTTTATAAACCAAAAGAAGAAGAAGAAGAAAAAAATCAGAATGTGGCTGCAGTAACTTCCAGGGTTTCTATTCCCCCGTCCAAAGCATGATAGGACTACAAACCATTTAGTATCCTGAGTGCCTGAGACTGAACAAAATGCATGCCTGTTAACCTTTGGAACACATAAAAGTCCAGCGAGTCGTGGATGCTGCATTTTCTCCTTCCCTTCCATGATATTTATCGATACAGGGAAAATTCTGTGATGAATTTTAGATTTAGTAAGCGCTTATTTAAGGACAATCACGTGCTGGCTTGGTGTTCACTGTTCACACAGGCAATCTCTTCACTAAGAACCAAGCCTGCTTATTTGGTCCTTTTAAATACAAAACGCAGCACTGAAAGAATGCCTGCGGTGTACAGTGAGCCAAACACCCAGGCTTCGGGAGGAGAGCGGAGTGGCTGTGAAAACAGAAATGAATACGGAGTTGTGCAGATTTATCTTACAGTCCCTTCATGTGGAACTACTTCACTGCTTATGTATATATTTTTATTGCTGTTGTTTTTTGAGACAGGGTCTCACGAGACTGACCTGGAACTCACTATGTAGCCCAGGCTGGTCTCGAAGTCAGTGATCCTCCTGCCTCAGCCTCTGGAGTGCTGGGATTTTAGGCATGCACCACCACGCCCGGCTTATGTATATTTTAATTAACTTGTGTTTATGCTGAAATATCTGCAGAAATTAGTAGTGGCTTAGGGTCCATTTTAAAGTGAAGGTGTGATTTCTCTCTTTCTTTAGTGATTGTAAAAAAAATGGCCCTAGCCCGCGGAAGCAGCATCGTTCTTAGGAGGCTCCCCGTTTACAAGGGGCCCAGATGCACACCAGGAAATCCGGCCCAAAGCGGTGCAGACTAAACTGCTAACGCCACTGCTCAGTCCTCTTAAACCGCGTACAGGCCATGTCCTGTAACCCTATCGGTTTAATCCCTGGCCCCTTTCAGATTCAGGCCGGTCAGAACTGCGCTTCATTAAAAACTGCAGACAATGCTTAAATCTCAAGGAGGTGGCTCCCAACGTACTGTAAAATACATGTACAGTATCCCTTTTAGTTTTCACTGAAAAAAAGAAATATCGAACTTCTCCAGCGTCTCTGACCTAAAACGCTTACATGCATCTTTAAGGCTTCGCTGCTGGCTCTAAGGAGAAGTTCTTAAACAGAACACTCAGCACGGCTTCTATCCGGAAAGCTGGCCAAAATATAACAGTGCAAGTGGGATCCAAATATACGGTGAGTGTTCATAAAACTCTGTTACGGTGAAAGGGACACCACTATTGGTCCCCCTCAAAATAATGCCCCCTCCTCCCCGTCATTCCACCCACTTTCTGAAGCCATTCGGAAGTCTTGCCCTTGTGAGCTATGATCAAAAATATCATAAGCAATGGATGCCGGGCGTTGGAAAGGGAGGCCATGTGCCCCTTCCACCTCACTCCCTGCGTGTGGCACCATGCGACTGGTGGCTTCCCCAAAATGATCCTGAAAGGGAAACATCTGAATCATTCCAGGACATGGAGGCAGCCACAACAGCACAACTAAAGACACTTACAAAAAAAGGACTTCTGGGAACGTGGCCAGAGGGGAGGGATCAGCATATGGCAGGCAAAGAGAAGTACTGTGAGGTCGATTAATTGCAATATGTCTTGAACTATAATAAATTTAAAAATTATAAATGTTTGTCATATTTTTATCACAACTTGTAATTAATTTGAAAAGGCTGACTGGAATGTGCAATTGTTGCATGAAAAAAACCCAACATATATGCAATTGTTGGAAAGATTTTCAAAACTGATTTAAGTAAATACTGTGGGCAATTAGTGCCTCAAGCCTGTGGGGAGTTCCCAACGTCCAGCTGTGTTCACCAAGCCTCAAAAGTGTGGACCACAGCATGGTTAATAGACTTAAGTGACGAATTAACATATTAACCAGTATTTTCAGTTCCTACACCAAGAAGTAGAGTATTTGTGTTTTAATCACACAGGTAATAAAGATGGCAAGATAGTTATGCTACTAAAAGAGCAAGGTCCTTTAAAAATAATATTTGTACAGTATCACTACAATAAGAAGCTGAGGTTCTGCTGCTAAAAATAAGACTACAGGTAATGATGCTTTTCTTCGCCCATTCTCAGATGGCCATTATGCCGTGATTCTCCTGCTGAGATGTTAATTCCAGTTCATAAACCTCATGGCAACATGGTAATTAACACCCTCCTCCTACTAGTACCTGGTCAAATGCATGTACACTCAGGCTGGACTTTTTACAACAGGGAATGTGTGTTACAACTTCATCCCACAAGCAAAATTTAAAGAACGCATAGCGTGTTTCAGACATACAATGACAGTGCAATGTATAAAAAAATTCTTATGACAGAAGGTAAAAGACAGCTGTACATGACAGTCACATTGTTTTTACCAACAGTATAAGGAGCAATGTTTCTACAAACCCAATTTCTAACTGGAAACATTTTAAAATTTCATGATTATTTACTTTATTTTTTGTTGTGTTGTTGTTTTTTGTTTTTTGAGACGGGGTCTCACGATGTGTTTGAGACTGACCTAGAACTCACTATGTAGCCCAGGCTGGTCTCGAACTCACAGCGATCCTCCTGCCTCAGCCCCCCCGAGTGCTGGGATTACAGGTGTGGGCCAAATGATTATTTACTTTCAATAAAGAACTATTAGGGAATAACTTCTAAATTTTAGACATTCCTATTATAACTAATGTAAAGAAAATACATATAGCTAAGCTGCCTGGATCTTGGACAGAGGGGCCAACGCAGGCCAATAATTGATACGAAAAGAAGACAAGCGGGACCTGATACAGAGGCAGGGCCTATAGTCATGCAGGGAGAAGAGGTGGCTATTGCAGATCAGGCCAGGTGAAAAAAGTTAAGTAGCAGTAAGCAAATGAGCAAACGAGAATAACAGACGAAGTTTCACTTATGTTCTAGGGCTGGCCCTAGGCATGCGAGTTCTGACATAGTACTGCATTGATTTCTGATCAGAAATGAACAATTTTGTCCACAATTGTTATGGTTAAGGTGAAAAGCTTGAAACAGAGAGGTTTGCTCAAAGCCCTGTGCCTCCAATAAGAAAAGGGCATTCTTAAAGATTTATTGGGATATGTGGACAGAGAGAAAGTTTCAATCTTTTTTTTTTGGTACCAGGGATCAAACTCAGGTCCTTGTGCTTATGAGGCAGGTGCCAGAACCACTAAGTTAAATCCCCAGCCTGAGAAAGTTTGAATCTTTATGGAATTATATATCTTTCTAGAGCTTTCAAGAATCAGGCTTTCACGTCTGGTATCTCCTAAGCATGAGAAAATTAAAGCACCCACTGGATTGTCTGATCTATTGGACAAACTTTTTCAACGCTTCTACAATCTCTAGACAGAGGGCTAATATCTAGAATACATAAAGAACGAAAATAAATTAGACTTCCACAAAATAAGAGCCAGTCAAAACAATGGGCAAGTGAAATAAATAGACACTTCACAAAAGAAATACAAATGGACAGTAAACACATGAAGAAATGCTCAACATCACTGGTCATTAGAGAAATGCAAATTAAAAACAACACTGAGATTCCATCTCACCCCAGAAAGAATGGCCATCATCAAAGAACCAAATACAGTAATAACAAAGCTGTGGGGAAAAGGAACTCTTCTACATTGTTGGCAGAAATGTAAACTAGTACAACCAGTATGGAAAACACTTAAGAATTTCCTCCAAAAACTAAAACTGGAAACTCTATCTGACCCAACTATCTTCCTGAAAGAGTTAAATACATCATATTACAGTGATACATGCAGACATGTTTATAGCAGCACAATTCATAATAGTTAAATCTTAGATGCAGCCTATATGTCCATCAACAGGTGAATGAATGGATAAAGAAGATGTGGCATGTGGCATTTATATACACTGAAGAGCACTCTACGATAAAGAAGGATAAGCTTGAGTCATCTGTAGGAAAATGGATGCACCTTGAGACCACAGTGTTACGTGAAATATATCAGACACAAGCTTCAGTATGGTATGGCTTCTCTTATATGAGAAACCCAAAGTAAAATAAAGAACAAAATAAAAGACCGATAATAGGGCATAGGGAGGTGGTTGTTTCTTATTAGGAAGGGAATCAAGAGATGCATGCAGAGAGGAGGGAATGGAGGGAAAGGGGACGAAACAGAAATTAAGATGTATCATGTACACGTACCCACTCCACCCAGGAGATATAAACATCATGTACTGCAAACAGGCACTACTAACCACAAAAGACAGGGGTTGGGATAAAAACCCAATGTTTAACTAATTTGACTAACAGCCTAGACAGGAACAAATGAATACATGATTACCAACTAGTGCAAACTATACACTCTAGACTCTAATGGAGAGTGTCTGTATAAAATGGAAGAGTCTCTAATGCCAAGTCAAGGAGTCTGGACTAGATCCTGTTTATTCTACTCTAAGAATTGTCAATTTGGGGATCATGAATCCAGAAGACAAAGATGGGCTTTGGGTAGTTCATGAACTCCCTGAAATTACATGCAGAACTCTTGTACGTATGAAAGGTTTGGAAAGGTTGCTCTTGGGCCAGATTCTCAAAGAAATTCAAGACTTTCAAAAAGTTGGGTTTGGCAGGGAAGTTGGACGTGCTTAGAAGCTGTCAGAAATTCAGGCAGGAAATCAGAAGACATGTCGGAATTAGAAACAGATTTGAGATGCAGTTGCTTCCTTGCTGCTTATGAAACATTAGTCATGAGTGAGATTGCTCAGGAAGATTTAAAAAAGAATGAGAGGACAGAGAGACAAGTTGAATATTGAAATGGCAATCAGAGAAGAGGAAGCTGGTAAAGGAAAGGGCTGGCCTGATGATCAGAACAGTACAGACGGAAGGGTGTTACAGAAATTGAAGGACAAAAGAGTTTCAAGGAGGAAGGGACAATCAGCAGTGGCTGCCATGCAGA